CACCTCAGAACCAGGGAGTCCAAAATGCCCTGCTGGTTCTCGTAGACACACTCTAGTACATAACTAATCCCAATGGCAGAGGGTTCCAGGGTTCTGGGGATGTCTCACCCAGACAAGGTTTAAATAGCCGCTCTTACTATTGCCAATAAACATAACTGGCAAGCAGGCACAAACCCACAGTTACAAAGAAACACCATTAATCAGTACAGTTCAAGCTTTGATCAGGCACTTTTTAAAAACAGATCAATTAGATCAGCTGAAATCAATCTCATAGCCCATATTATATCCAGTAAAACCAGAAATTTAAAATGGTTTGTGATTTTATTATTGTAAATCCTTTGACTTTTGCTGTTAACATAATCTTTTATTTCGTCACCTACTTGGGTACTAAGCTTCCTAACAGTAAATGCAGCTAATTTTATCTTCCCATTTCTTGTCTCTAACTCAGCTTTACTATTTTCCTGGAGCATTTTTCTCTACTTCTCAGGATAAATTCTTCATACTTTATTTTCCAAAACAACTCAATTCTCCAAATTCTTTTTTTTTTTAAGAGAGGGGGAGAGAGAGAGAGAGAGAGGAGAGAGAGAGAGAGAGAGAGAGAGAATTTTTTTAATATTTATTTTTCAGTTTTTCGGTAGACACAACATCTTTATTTTATTTTTATGTGGTGCTGAGGATCGAACCCAGCGCCCAGCGCCCCGCGCATGCCAGGTGAGCACATTACCGCTTGAGCCACATCCCCAGCCCAATTCTCTAAATTCTTAAGAACACCTAAATTCTCTCCTAGAGAGAGAATTTTACACCTGCTTCAGTTTTATGGGTTTTTTTTTTTTTTGGGGGGGGGTTGTTTGTTTTTTGTTTTTTGTATTCCAGCTCCCATGCCTCTCTTCTTTAGGGTGGCTAATATGAAATTATCTGTGTTTAAGTGGGAAAACCACACTGTTAATCTGCTCATGGTTATGAGGTTTACCCATTACATGCAATTGAGAAATCTCACCAAGTGCTTTCAATCAAAGCCTTTTAAATCCCATCTCTCATCACTTTGAGGTAAGCAGTTTTAGTCCATGAAGACTCTGACTCTTTGGATTCTCTCTTCTGTTTTATTTCTGCTTATCCAAATTAGTCATGTCTCTCTGAGGACTCCTATTTCTTGCAATATTTTGCAAGATATGGCAATGCTACATGTATTAGTTTGCAGTACGATTTACAGTATTAATTTTGAAACTTATTAGAATTAACTAACTGCTATAACTAAAAGCTTCCTAAAACCAAAACATTCATTACTCCCAGAGTTCAAATACATGATCCTGGGTGGCTTTTCTTATGTGGCTTCTCAAGGATACAAACCTATTACATAAATACTAGAGATCATATGTGGGACATTTCTCACAGACTAGAGGCAGAAGTGATATCCATCATTTCTGTTCATATTCTACAGGCTAAAATTAATCACATGATATCACCTAGACGTAAGAATGCTAGGAGGTACCATCTTTGTGTGTGCCAAAGAAAAGCAGTGTGGCAAGTGTACCAGCTTTGGTTTTGCCACGGAAAGCCAATCCAGATTAAAGCAGAAGGTGTTAATGTCCTGAAAATAATATCTTAAGGAATTCAGAAGATTTCATATAATAGGTAACATGATCAATAGGAAATACATTAAAGATAGGGCGAAGATTTCTTTATTAACATGGGGAAAAGGAAATTAGAAATCACAGGAAACCTCAATCGCCGCCCCCCCCCCCCGCCCCATTATGATCTTGTAAGAAGACCAAAAGAAGGAAATAAAATGTTGTATAATGTTCATGGTACAGAAAGAGAATATATTTGTCTTCAAAGCTTGTCATAGTTTAACTAAGGAAGACAATAAAATTAAATACAGAAAATTGTAGGGAAGATAATTTAAGATACTACTTGGCCAAGCAGGAAAAATACATAATAAAAAGAATGTAAATATCATTCATTAGTTTTCAGGATAGAGACCTGGTTTATAACAAAGCATAAAAAATCCAGAATAAAAATTTTAACAGCCTTGGAATGTAAAACAATGAGTAACAGAACAGATTAGAGCCAAGTGTGGTGGTAACATGCCTATAATCCCAGCTACTCAGGAGGCTGAGGCAGGAGGATCTTGAATTCCAAGGCAGCCTGGGCAACTTAGTGAGACGCTGTGTCAAAATAAAATAAAAAGGGATGGGGATGTAGCTAAATAGTAGGGTGCCCCTGGGTTCAGTCCTCACTAGGGCAATTAAAGAATGAAAGAATAGATCCGAAGGAGGAAAATAGATAATATATATATATAGTAAGAGTCAGAGTCTAAAGTTGATGAAACAGAAACAGAAGTTTAAAATATAATTTAAAGTTATGACAGGTAATGGGGAGATATCTTGGTAATACAGTGCTTGCCTAGCATGTGCTGGGCCCTGGGTTCAGTCCCCAGCACAATAAATAAATACATGAATAAATAAAGTAAAATTAAAGGTCTAAAAATAGTTATGGCAGTAACTGAGAATATTAATAACAATAATATATTCATTAAAAATTGAAATGATTGAGTTGGTGTATATGTGTGTGAGCACACCTGTATGTGTGTTCAAAGGAAATGCTCAACTCCAGCAGTCATTAGGCAAGATAAGCCCAAACTGTTCTTAGCCTTGAGCAACTGCCTCTGAGCTTCGCAAGAAGATGGAGCCCACTCAACCTAGTATATAGCAGAATACTTTTGACAGACATTTGGTAGGCAGCTTCTAAAATGGTGTCCAGTCACTCCTAAATCCAGGTTTCATGCTCATGCCCTTGTATATTCTGTTTGCCCAAATGTAGACTGCATTTGCCAAGTTGATTCTAGTACTTAGAATATGGCCAAAGGGTGGGATGTCACTCACAAAATTAAGTTATAAAAAAATATTCAGGATTCCATTTGTGATCTTTCTGGATCTCTCACTTGTTCACTCTGATTAAAGCCAGATGCCATGTAGGAAGCTACTGTATGAGGAAGATCATTTGGCAAGAAACTAAGAAAGAACTCTAGCTAATTACCAGTAAGGAACTGAGGCCCTCAGCCAACTGGCTTGTGAGGAACTCAATCTTGATGACAACCACATAACTGAACTGGGAGCTGGGCTCTCCTCCACCTGAGCCTTCAGATGGAACTATAACCCTATCCAATTCCCACCTTGATTACAGCCTCGTGAGACACCTTGATTCAGGGGACCCAGCTAGTACATATCTGGATTCCTGCCCCAGAGACTCTGTGAGATAGTAAATGTTTGTTACTCTTAAGTCTCTAATATTTAGAATAAACTGCTACACAGTGATAGATCACTATTAAAAATATCCTTATTATTTGTAGACCTAAATTTTTATTTGCTTTTCTCATCCATGTGACTCATGTCACTCCACAATCTTCCTCACTTCTAGGGTGTTGAAAGCTCATTTGTCTACCCAACATCCATTCTCCTTGTCTTTCCTGTTGACAGTCTGATTGAATTAGAGAATATGTTATGTTCATTATAGTTTCAAAGCTTCCCTTGCAGATAAGATGCCCATATGACACCCTTGATGCTGAATGATAAAAGAGGATTACACTAAGTTGTTAACATGGTGGGCATGTTAACTTTTCCTATTTTTCTTATTTCCTACAGGATTTTTGTTTGTTTGTTTGTTTGCAGTGCTGGGATTGAAGGGCTTTGTCTTGTGTATGCTAGGCAAGTACTCTACTACTGAATTACATCCCTCACCCTCTTCTTATTTACATGGACCTGATACTGGAAGTGAAGCAACCATATTCTGTGAGGCAACAAACATATCCCATACATCAATAAGTAAAAAGATACCAATTCTTGATGACCTTCTGAAATATTTCAGTCTTGGCCTGAGTATCATAAAATTATTAATTTGGGTAATCCACTATTTCTCAGATTTGACTTACTGACAGCAAACTTCATTCTTAACTCATATCTTGACATGGCTACATGCTGAGGTAAAAGTATTACAATCTGTACTCCCCATTTAAAAGTTTTCATTGAAAGGGGAGGTAGTGGGGAACAAAACCAACCAAATTATATTGTTATATTGTGTTCATGTACAAACATGAAACAACACTATTATAACTATAAAGCACCAATTAAAAACAGAATTTTGAGAAAAGGTTTCTTTGTGTTTGGACACAATGAAATATTATCACGTCTAACATTCATATCCACATCTAATATTTCTCATATACTTTGAATTCCCCTATGAAAGATATTTTGTATTCCTTTCTGAAAGATAAAGATTTGTCTGACACAAACTGAACGTCTTAGAGGAAACTTATTGTCTAGTTTTCAAAAGTTCTTATTTTAAAATTATAAAAACAAAAGATTGGGTGTACTTTTCAGTGGTAGTGTGCTTGCCTAGCACGCATGAGGTTCTGGGTGATCCGACCCATCCCCAGCATAAATAAATAAATAGACAAAAGGATAAATAAATGGTTTTAATGGGGCAGGGAAGTCTCTCAGAGGTTAAAACTATAGCAAAATAAAACCACCTGTTCCTAGCCAATAATTTCATAAAGGGTTAAACAATTTAAATTAGTTAAATTATATCCATACACACATATTATGTTTTAAGGGTGGATATAACATTTGCTCCATTAACTCCATTTTCAATTGTTTATCCTAAGGAAATAATTTGGTTAAGTGGGCACTAAAGCCGCCATTAGGGAACTTTTTAGATAAGCCATGAGAATTCCAAAAGATTAAATTTTTATCCGATATAGATTAGCCCTGTTCTGCTTAAAAATCTCCATGACTGCATTTAGGATTAAATTCAAATGCCTTCATATAGCTCTTGATGATCTGGCCTTTTCTATCTTTGCAATCACAGGGCGATTTCACCCTTCTTTTCTTCTCCCCAAGAACACGCACCAGGGGTAGGAGAAGGGAAGCTGGAGGTAGGAGGAAAGCGGTCCTTGACGTGCTGCTGAGTCGGGGACATTTCCTGGGTGCTGACGCTTCCTTCAGGATACCCTGATTCCTGCCCTCGAGTTAAACATCCGTTGGCCAGAGCTGCCCAACGCTGCGCTCAGAGCGCAGGAAACACGTATCTTCAAGCGCCCCCCAATCCAGGCCCGGTTGAACCCCCTCACACCATTCCCCGCTCCAGTTCCCCCACACCATCCAAGTTCACGGTCCACGTTCCTCATTACTGACTCCTTCCACCCTTCGGGCTCCCGGCAAGTTCTGGTTTGCCGGCGGCCAAGAGTTGGAACTGGGGCGGGGAGCAGAGACCAGGGACGAGCTTAGAGGAGAGAGGCGGGGCGAGGGCGGGGCGTAGCGAGGGGCGGGGCGCAGAGGGCGGAGGCAGGGCGGGAGGAGGGGAGCTGAGGGGAGTGAGTTGTAGCGAGGGACGGGGCGCAGAGAGACCCAGTGTTCTCTGGTCCAGCGTTCCGCTCAGGGATGGGTCAATTTTGCTCAGAGGTTTCCTGCAGAATTGAAAGGGGTAGGGAGAGAACTGAAAGGGAGATTAAGAGCCGAGGAGAATATTCTTGACACAATGAGCTTTCAGCTTTCTTCCTTCTCACTTTTGAGTCCCTCAAAAGCCCCGTGCCCCATGGAAGCGCTTCTCTGTGGACTGGACCCATCTACACTATCAGGCAAGTGGTTAAAAACCTACAGAATCAAATCACCCCAGACCTACAGAATCAGAAACTGGCATAACCCCGCCCCATAAGTCTTTTTATTAGCAAGTTCTCCAGGTGGTTTGGATGCACACCAGTAGGTCGCACAGGTCTGCCACCGCGCACACCATCTTTGAGTTTTAATTCGTAAAGCCGAGCGCACACGCAGGGGATTCCAACATAGAGCCACCAACTGGTCACATCTCCTTGTGTTTCCTAGTTAAGAGTTTCCCAGCTCTTTAGAGGTCAAGAGCTAGCTGCGCTGCATGCATGGATAGCTATGACGTAGGAACCAGTTTTCCGGTCACTTGGCTAATGAAAAACCACAAAAGAGAAGTGTTTATATGTTTTGAATTATTTCGTCGTCCAGGGTGGTCCTGAAGTCTGTTTGAGGAGTCAGCCCTTGGTTTGGGGAAGTCATGTGGTCGCACTTGGCACACTTAACACTTGTGACCTTGGATTTTTTAGGGCGGAATAAGGCATCTTGGATTTCGTCCAGGTAACTCAATTGCGGTTGGGAATTTAGTTAGTGTGGAGAGTGCTGCCCTCCACTGACGATATAAATGCAATAAATTGTCTCTGCTTTCCAAAACTATATTACTTGGCTCATTTACTGTGTATATTGAAGATTCTTTGACTGGTTCACATTCTTTTAATTCTTGGGAAAGGTAAGGCGTGACTATTATTTTCACCAGCCATATATCAAAAGGGCAGAGGCATTGGTGGTTTGAAAATACTGTGTTCTCTGGGCTGAGAATGTAGCTCAGTGGTAGAGTGCTTGCCTAGCATGCCTGGGGATATCATCCCCAGCACTGCAAGGAAAGAAAGAGAGGAAGGAGGAAAGGAAAAGAGGGAGGGAGGGAGGGAAAGGAAAGGAAAACACCAAGAAGTAAATTGTGGGCTTAAAACTGCTTCCATTTCTCCCAGTCTTTGGATTCACTTGGCAAATCAGGGGTATGGTCAATAAATAGAAACTGTCTTCTTCCTTTGAATGCAATTGAATTATCTTGTGCTTTTATTAGTACGTTTTGTTAGCTGTTAAGCATTGGAAAGTTTTTGAGCAGCCACATAAGTTGTTCTCTGAAAAGCAGTGCCTTTGAAACTTTAGTAATAATTCGGTGTAGAAAAAAGTGGACACTGGTAATGTTGAGAATGCCTTTTATTGTGGGGAAGAGACAGTAGGTGAAGACAATAGTTACTCTTGCAGAAATATCATAGAAGGATGGGTAAATATCAGCAAAATATACTACAGCCAATGAGAAGTTGTCAGCTTCTCAGAAATAGCCAATGTGATATAAATGAGTTGTTGAATATTTAATGATATAATTGAATAATCATTATTTTGTATCTATGACACCTGTTTGTATCTATGACCTGTTTGGCTCCTGTGTCATTTTTGTCTTGGTCAGTTCAAATTGTGCAAAAGCAAACATTTACTGGGAACTAGTGCACACCAGGTCCCAGTGCAGTGGTTCTAGCCTCAGTTCTTAAGGAGATGGAAGTTGGACTTTCAAAGAAGCAGGTAAGCAAATAGATCACTGAAGTGTGTGTTTTATTTCCTCTTCCCACCAAAACCCACAAACATAAAACATGTTGTCCCGAAGTGGGTTGTCCAGTTTTTAATTTTGTTTGCAGTCTTTTGGGTTAAAAAAATAAAATTTCAATAGCTTCTAATACAACCAGTGATAGCAAATATATACAAGCCATTTTCTTCATTGGTTGGATCACATTATTTGAAATGGTATTTTTCTTTCCTGAATGTTCACAGATATATGTGTTCTATTGTGTGTCTTAGATCTGAACTAGAGTGGGACAATACTCAAATTCCTCATCCATTCAGGTTTTTCTTCCTATCATGGTCTGCTCTGCATTGGGCTTCCCACAAAGTTCCCACCTCTGGTTCTTCTCCTGTTTTCAGGATTTTCTTCCTTGGCTGTGGTCTTTTTGCTCAGTGCTTGTCTTTGGTGGTTTCCCAAACTCTCCTTTTTTCTTTTTTGTAGACACTCAATCCTCATCCCTGTCCCTCTCAATAATTATTTCAGAAGATATCCTCACATATTTATTCACTGATGGCAGCCATCTGGTCATCAAGCTCCTCTAAGCATCTTTAATTAGCCCCATTTTACAGTTGCAGTCAACTCAGCGACAGAACCAGCAGCAAACACCAGGACTCCTTTTCTTCTATACTTACATATTTGGATTATTATTATTATAGCTAATAAAATCATAAATAAGGATGGGCAATTAATTCACTTTGATGGCAATTGTTCTAGGCTAAGGACAAGTATTCAGCCATCTTTTCTCTGAAATGATTCAAAGTCTTCATAATACTGCAAGTCATGCCAATGGACATCAGGGGGCATAAGAGATGCCTCCCTACCAAGGGTCACAAGAGACCCTCTCCCACAAGCTTTTATTTCTTCATGGTGTATATACTTTTCTGTTGTGAATATTGATCTCTCCTGCCCAGTGTAAACATCTAATTGGCTCTGCATGACTGAAAATAAAACATCTGGGCCAAAAGTATATAGTATTTGGGTTCTCCTGATCCAAGGAATATGTTTGCTCCCATTGCAGTGACTGAGTGCCTTTCCCTCTTGTGTCAAGAAGCATCCTTCTACTTCAGAACATTAGGAAATGTTCAAAAGGTGCTTTAGATCCTGAGGCATTCAAGACTTTTAACCACATATACCTAATTAAATAATAATTAAAAACATGGTTTCTTTCTTGAGTGATACTGGAAATTAAAAAAAAAAAAAAAAAAAGCTGTTGTTTGTTTGGATGGTTTCATTTCCCAAATAGTCTGTGATCCAATAACAATGAATTTTTCCTGGTGGGAATTCTGAAGTGTTTGCCTACTTTGGGTAAGTATCAGCTGTAGTTTGGGCAGAGTTAGGACTTATGCAATTAATAGAAGAGAAATGACAATGTCCCCCATTTGCTTCTCTTGTCTTCACTGCTGGGCCTCCCTGCTCAGACTTCCAATTAGGTTATGTTCCAACTACAACGTAACCTTGGCAGATGTACTAAAGAGGGCTTATTTACCACATTCTCTGCTTGTAGGACTTGCCCCAGGTTCCTTAGCATGGGCACTAGGTCTTCACAGCAGAGCCCTGACCCCCCTTCCATCTCCACTCTCCAGCACCTCTCCATGCACCACACTTCAGGCACCAGGACTTGTTAGTCTTCTGGATTTTCAGACTACTCCCTTTTTTTTTTTTTTTTTTTTTTGCAGAATCCCTCTTCCTACCTGAAACGCTCTTTTCCTCTTCTCATCCCATCCAGGGGAAGTTTCTTCATTGGCCCTCTCCTCAGTGCCCTGGTTAACTAGATTCATGGTAGCACTTCTAGAGGTTCAGAGCATGATACTGAGTTTGGTGCTTTGGTGTTCTGAGTGCTTTAAACTAAAGGAGGTTGGAAGGCACTTAGAAGCAAAGTCTCTTGAACCTTCTTCTGTCTTCTAGTCTCCTGTACCTCTGTCTCCCTCAAAGCTGTCAGAGAAACAAGAATTCCTCTTCCCCAAGGTGGGTCATGGAAGCTAGAATCTCTCCCTCCTCTTTTCCTCCAAAGCAAGCCATAAAATCTAGAAAGATTGCATTCTCCCCTTTTCCTTCACCTTTTTTTAAATACCCTCTGAGGATCTTGTCCATAGCAGGAAGAAGGGATGCTACACAGAAAGACCAAGAAGAATCTGAACATACAGGCCTTGCTGGGTTTCCCTACTCAGTCTATTACTGTTTTCTCAAATACTTTTGTCCAATTACATTCCCACACAGCTGTTCATTCTTTACCTAACCTAAGCATAAAAATGGATAATTTTCCCTGGATCTGTATGTCTGAAGCTCTTGTGTCATGTAAAACTTTGGTTCAATGTATTTGTTATGTTTCTCTCTTGTTAACCTGTGTTTTGTTATGGGAGTGTTGACCGTGACCCTTAAGATGGGGAGGAAAGGGATCACATCTTTCCACCTCTACATACCTTATTGAAATCTTCGTTTATCTCATTTGTCTGCTTCCTGTACACTGTCTTTTTACTTTTATATCCCCAGTGGTTAGCACATTGTCTACCCCATAGGAGGTGCAAAATAAATGTTTGCCTGATAAAGTTTTGGTTGCATTAACAGATTGAGCCATGGCTGAGCTATTCTGTAGATTCAGTGTCCCTGGGCAATGAATGATTGGCAAGTTTTAACTGGACCTTTAAAATTCTTTCTTATGGAGAGCAACAAATCTGGTAGAAAAAAAAAAATCCAGACCTAGTAGTCTCTAGAATCCACCATGTCTATTCTACAAGGCACTTTTGATCTCCATCTGCTGTTTCAGAGAGTGTTCCTGAATACAAGTAAGACAGTTCACCCAGGTCAAGCAGTTAGCAAAGAACACAACGTCCAAAGAGGCTGTAAGCACTGATTTCATCTCCCAACTCTGCAATTTCTTAAATGCCTGAAAGCTAAATTTCTTGATACTAATTTCAGAAGAAGCAATGAACTACAGTTCAGGCTATCCAAACAAAAAATTCTAATGTAGGAAGT